ATCCTGCATGTTGATTTTGTCTTGGTTTCCTCCTGTGTAGACCCATTGCACCAGTTAGTGAACTGGTCATCATGTAGACAAACCCCATTAATTCAGTAAGTCTACACAACCCAAACCCTGCTTCTGGTGCAAGCAATCTGGGCAATGTCTGGCATGTTCCTCACATTTATAAGTAAAGGTAAAGCTATTCCCTGTTGACAAGGTTGTCAAGTCATGTCTGACCGCAGGAGGCAGTGTTAATCTCCATTACTAAGCCAAAGAGCCAGTGTTGTCAGAGATTACTCTGTGATCATGTGGCTAGCATGATTACACAGAATGCAATTTACCTTCCCATTGAAGTGGTACCTATTTATCTACTTGTGTTTGCATGCTTTCGAACTGATATGTTGGCAGAAGCTGGGACTAGTGATGGGAGCTCACCTCACCATGCAGCACCCAGGCCTCGAACTGCCAACCTGCCAGTCTTGCAATCAACAGAGTCAGCTTCTTAACCACTTGAACCACTGCATTTATAACTGAGGTACAAAATCCTTAGCAGGGTTGACCTCAGAAGTGAGTGCCCCACAGCAGTGGCAGACATGCTGGGTGGACATACAGCCCTGACTCAATGCTAGAGAATTCTGGGAAATGTAGTTTTGTGAGGCATTTAGCCTTTTTTGTCACAGAGCTCTAGTGTCGCAATAAACCACAATTCCCAGGGTTACCTAGCACTGAGTCAGAGCAGTTAAAGTGGTCTCAAACTGGATTATTTCTGTAATGCATTTTGCACCATAGTTATACAGATAGGGTAGTTATGCAGACATATAGCAACAGCAATAGCATTTTTATACCACTTATCAGTGAACTAGAACTCTCTAAGCGGTTTACAGTGTGTAAGCCAATTGCTCCCAACAAGCTGGGTACTCATTTTACCAACCTACATAAGGATGGAAGGCTGAGTGGGCCTTGGAGCCCTCCTCTAGGATTGAATTTACAACACTGTGGTTGCAGTACCAGCATTTAACCACTGCATCATAATTGAATAGCCCATCTAGGATCCTGGCATACATCCCTAGTCCTTACATGCATTTAACAGTCCAAATGTCGGTCCTCACCTGCCTTTAACATCAAGCCCACCTTGACCCTAAGCTGGCCACCTAAAAAAATATGACCTGTGGTGTAGAGTCAGCCATGATCAACAGGACATCTGTCATGGACGTGGAGAGGAGAGATACAGGAAGAAACAAGCACTGATTTCTTTTATACTTTTTGCATTGGAAACCTTGCTGTTACATGACTAGAAGCCTGTGAAGCAAATGACTCCTCCTTGCAACTCACATACTGACATTTCCCTTTGAAATTAATATAGTGGGTTTGGAATGTACCATATCATTACGAAGGGATTACATAGCTCTGAGACAGCATAATGTAACACTGGCTGAGGAGCCTCTAGTTGTTAAGCTAATTGGACAGCCAGTGCTCTGATAACTGAGAGCTGCCATAAATAAGCAAAGAGAGAAGCTTTGGGAGGTGTTCCTTGAGAATCAGCCCCTAAGGGAAGTCATTAAAATGTTCATTGCCACCTCCCACCTCAGAAACAAACACAAACAAAATTGACTGGACATCTCAGAGACAGTTGGGATCTGAAAGATCTCAACGCTTCCCAAATTTCCCACCGACACCTCACTAAGGCATCCTGAAAAACATGGTTGGTTTGTACTAATGGCCTCAAGTTTTGTAAAGAAGTGGGTTGTTCTTTTAAAGTAATTGCTGTGACACCTCATTGCTGTAGTCACAAAGTGTAAGAAGGCGTTTCGGTTACAACTCCAGTTTTCTGACCTCCTCATTGCATAAGACAAACATCTTGAAGGGTTGCTTTGGCATCTCTGCTCTAGGGAGCAACCTGAGCACACTGGTTACATGCTTTGCATACACAAGTTCCTATGTCAAGTCTTCAGAATCGCCAGGAAAAGATCTCGGATAACAAACTCAGAAAGAACTTCCACCAGCGAGGCTGCCAATCAGAGCAGATGAAACTGGGTTACATGGACCAACAGGTCTGACTCAAGTATAAACTACTTTGGGGGTTCAATGCAGCAATTTCCAGGAGAATCAAGAGATAGGACGTTTGACTGCTGATTTTTAGAACCTACTACATCAAGTGTCATTCCTAAGGGTATATCTTTTATGATAGCAGATAGTAAGTAACTTCCTCCAAGTTTATTCTCTCCTGGCAAATGAGTGTAAATATTGTGCTAGATGGATATACAGTAAGGCTTCAAATAACACAACCTCATATATGTCAAATGTTCACCTCTGTTCAGACTTTTTGCAGTCTATCATTGTGATACAGGGAGATAATGGATGCAATCCAACACCCCCTCACCATAGTATAAATATACTATATTATACTATATTATAGTATATAATATACCATATACTATCCATATATGGAAAAGTGTTGTACTACCATTCTGCAACTCCCCATGCAGAATGGCAACATTTCACAACGCATGCTAATGACTGGGTGCCATTGTGTAATGCACACTTACAATCTGCAACATGCACCACAACTCATAATGCATAGTGCATAACCACAACGCTCAGTGTTGCTATGTACAACTCTGTTTCCACCATTGTGAGCAGAGTAAGATCTAATCTGAAGAAATAATGCAAGTTGGCATCCCTTTAACTGCCATGGCTCAATACTATGGAGTTCTGGGATCTGTAGTTTTGTGAGCTACTTGGCCTTCTATGTGTTACAACTACAAATTCCAGAATTCCATCACATTGAGCCATGGAAGTTAAAGTGGAAGTTTAGACCTAAATCTGTTGTGCTAGAGCAAATAATTTGTCCTATATGCATAGCACAACCTATATGTACATGTCTCACTAACAGAATGCCAACCATTGTCTATACCTAATACCCACTGAAGCAAGACTGTTCATGTGTTTGATAGGCTGGTTTTCCTGAAATGTTGTATATGTATATATACATATTGTGATTTTGGAAAGCTGTGATTTTTTTCTTCAAATACAACAGTACTGGCACAAGCAAAAAAAAAAAAACCTGTTAGCAAGCTTCACTGTATTTAGCAACAGAATATAAATTTGTAATGCTAGGAAAATTGATAATTCTTTTTTGGGGAGCACGGTGATGATATTGTCCACAGGGCTGATCCATGATTTGGATTGCCTGAAGCAAAAGTCAGGATGGCATACCCTCCTGTTATCTATGCAGATGCTAATCAGACTGGCACTTGGGTCTTACTTTGATATTGGCATCTTCACTTGAAGGATGGTTTCAGACTACATAGAAGGTGGAATGAATCTCTGTTCTCCAAATCTCCATATGGCACTTACTGCCCCAAATCTTATCGGGAGCATACAGTTTCCTTATTGCAACAGGTCAACTGACCACTATTCCATTTCCAGGCACAATGTCTCATTATGACCTATGTGGCTCAGGCCCAGACTATCTTCATTTAATGGAACTTGAGCATCCATAGATTTTGGTATCCATGGGGGGTCCTGGAATCAAACTGTACTCATACACTTACGTAAATCCCATGCTGAATTCTGGCCAATATTTTTTTTTTCATCTCATTGATGAAAAATAGATGCAGACTCAAAAAAAAATTAAGTGGGATGGAAAGAATATTCCTCACTCTTTGCTGTATCATTAATATAGTCATGATCGACAAGCTGGACTAGGACAATCAGTAATTGTTGCCCAAAAGGTGACCTGCCACCATCTCTCTGCAATACCAATCAATATATAATTCTTGCCACACTGAGGGCACTCTCTAGATCTAACATTTTATCTCACTGGGTTTCATTATGGGATAAATATACTTTTAAATAAATAGCACAAGAAGAACACTGTGGGTTAGTTTAAATTACATCCATCTCACACAACGGTGAAAGCAGTTCCGCTTGGGAGATCATGCCCATCGGTCCAAAGCAAGGTACTCCAACGAAAAAGAGGAAAAAGAAAATAAGATGCCTTCTCTATTAACTGGTTAGTTACACTGTGTGCAAGCTTGCATTACTCTATATGCACATTATCATAAACCATTTCCAAGCTACGTAAAGGTAGCTGATAGTCAAAATGCAAGCTATTATAATGTCTTGCATATAAAACAGGAAATTGGCATGGAGGGCTGATTTATTTCCTTGCAGTTTTAATCGGGGGGAAAGGCATACACCAGCATTGCTTGTCTAGAACATGAATTTTCATGAAATGCTGTTTAATGTTTTACAAATAAAATCACTGCAGTGAACATTCAAAAGGTAGTTCTTGCTCCCCACCCCCCTCACACAGTATATAAAAAGCTAGTTTATTTAACTGCAGGCCACAAAAATAAACATGTATGCTCAATCTTTTCTCTTTTTGGCACTAGATCAGCACCTTGGAAAGTGATTGCTAAGCATAACAAAAAGATATTAGTGTGTATTGGTTTTGTCCGTTGGTAGATGAACAACATTGATTACTTTGGGATCAATTGGATCAAGAACACTTTATTTTCAATCTTTTACACTGTCATTTATTTATTGGCTTTGCTTTGGTCAGGGAGATGCTGCTCCATTTAACACTCTTTCTTGGTGAAGAGTCTTCCAATGGGTTCCTGTGCACAAAGAGAACACAACGATGTGTGTCTGCACCACCTAGTTATAACAGCTTGACCCCACTTTAAACATCATGTCTCTGTCCTGGAATTTGTAGTACAGTGAAATACTCAGAATTCTAGCAGAGATGTACTGTTATAACTGTATAGTGTGAAATCAGAGTTGGGCAACTGTGGAGGGGAGTGAGGCTCCCCTCCACAGTTGTATCCTTTGTGCTCTTCAACTTCATCCTCATTGTTGTTGTGTGCCATCAAGTTGTTTCTGAGTTATGACAACCCTAAGGCAAATCTACCATAAGGTTTTCTTGGCAATATTTATCCTAAGGAGGTTTGCCACTGCTTTCTCATGAGGCTGAGAGCATGGGACTTCTCAAGGTCACCCACTGAGTTTCATGACTGAGTGGGGAATTGAACCCTGGTCTCCGGAGTCATAGTCCAATACTCAAGCCACTATGCCATGCTGGCTCCCAAATTTCTCCCCACCCCATCTGTAATAAGCAGTAGTTATGGACAGTAGAAGTGTCTCCTCCTGCTGCTTGCTAGATGGAGGATGAAGATTTAGAAATGACACAAAGGTTCTGGAGACTAGCACCTGGCACTCCATCCAAAAGGAGACATATATGCACACAGAAGTGAATTCTGCCTTTCCAGTTTTGTTCTTTGAGAGGTGGGTAGGAATTTTTAGTAGCCCATGCAGAACTTTGAGGGTACTGGGGAAAGAAAATTGCACCCTGGACAGGGCACAGTTCTTAATTCTGCTTTTGATGGCACAGGACTGGTAATGTGGCATGCATAGCTGTATCCTTTGTGCTCTTAAACTTCATCCCACTGGTAGATTTTTCCTTAGGGTTGTCATAACTCAGAAACAACTTGATGGCACACAACAACAATGAGGAGAAAATAGGGAGGCAGTTCAGACAATGTAAGTCTGATGGGAAGGTATAAATTCTTTCTGTGAGCACTCTCCCTTTTCCTTCCTCTCCCCAAACCAAGATGAGCCAGTTCTTCATAATCTGACCTTTCTTACTTCTCCTCCTCCTCGCTGGTAAATAGGGTTGCCAGCTTGGCAAGATGGGGCTTGAGTAGGGTTGCCAGATTGAATACCGGAGATGGCTCCTGTATCTTTAATGGTTAAGCAGCTGTTGCTTATTTTGCAACCAGGTAACATCTGTTGAAATTTTCTCTTCTAAGCAACCATTAAAGGTACAGAAACCCTTTCCAGTTTTCACTCTAGCAATCCTAGGTGGAAGGTTTGTTTGGAATGGGTGCAGAGAGCTAGAAGAGAGACCCTTGAGCCCCATTGAAGAAGGAAAAAAAGAGGTGTGGGAGTTAGACATGGGACTGTGCAGATAAAGTGTTAACACTCCACCTGTTCAATGTAGGTGTGGATGGAACTCTCTACACAAATGGATGGAAGGTTTTTTTATAAGTGTTATAAGTGGGGATTTTCTCTCTAGGGTTTTGATGGGATCATCTCATGGTTGTTGTTTTTTCTCTCTATCTTTGTATTATTCATGCAATTCAGCTGCTGAGCAGAAGTGTCTAAAAGTTCAGTTCTGGTCTTTTTTTGGGGGGGG